AAGACTTCTTGGTAGAAGTCTTGGACCTTTTAGGTTTTGGTGAAGGAACCTCTACTGTTGTTCCTCTTTCTTGATGGACCAGTTCCATCTCCTCTTCTTCAGTAGCCTCAGAAGACTCAGCAACCTTTTTCTTTCCCTTCTCCGTTTTCTTTCTCTTGCTTTCTTCCAGAGCTTTTTGTAGGTCAGCTTCACTTTGTCGAACCCTGCTTCTTGTAGCTCGTCCCTTAGGTACTGAAGGGGCAGTAGATTTAGGGGGTGAGGTTTTTCTTTTCTTGGCTGGCTTGAGAACGGTTGGGGCCTTTTGTGAGATAGACTTGCGTTTCTTTGGGTCATAACTTGCCCCAACCCTTTTCAGGATATCAGCCAGAGTTTCCTCAGCAGATGAACCAGGTTCATCTCTTTGTTTGCTCAAATGAACTAGCCCTTCAGCTGCTTCCCCAGAACCACTTCCCCCTGACTTGAAGCCACTTTCTTCTTCAACTCCACATATAGCAAGAACTTCTCCCTTTCCTTTTCCCCTCTCTTCACCAGTTCCTCCCTCTATCTCTCTTTTCCTTTCTTTTTACCTCCACTCCTACTCGATTCAGCCAATAATACATCTTTAACAGGTCCAATTAGAACAAACCTGTTTTCTACGTTTTTAACTTCAGAAGAACCTACCTTAGGAGTTTCTTGAATTTTCTCAGTGTCAGAAGACCCATGTTCTTCACCTTCACTAGCAAAAATAAATGATTCAGAGTCAGCACTGGAATCAGACTCTTTAGCTGGGGATTCCCTTTTCTGGCTAGCTTTCAACCTCTCATTTAAAACTTTCCTCAAGGCTCCAGATGGTACAGATTTTTTAGCCAACATTTTCTGCCTTCGAAACCTAGGTTTTGGGGATTCATTAGAAGGAGTAGATGAGGATGAATTGGAGTGGGATGGTGGTGGAGGAATGCCAGGATGATCTTGTGGGTTAGACATGGTTCTTCGTTTATGGAGGAGTTTTGGGAATTTCTGAGAAGAAAAGCAATTTGGAATTTCTAGAGAGAGAAGCGATTGAGGATTCTTGGAGAAGAGGAGCAATTAAAACAGGAGATATAATTTTTGATGGTTTTAGAATGAAGAAGAAAATAAGAGATGTGGTGTATATTTAAAGATAATTAGTCATTAATGCAGTAACGACAGCTTTTTCAGAGGTTAAGTAGAAGTCTAATCAGCCTGGAATTCCAGTCCTTTAATGATTATTTTGGCTTCCCTAGATATTAGGCAAAACTCACGGTTTTTAGAGTTCTAAACGAACGAAACTGGTTCAATGCCTCAACGGATAGAATTTTCTAGGAATTTGACAAGTATAGGACTTCTGCTCATGATTGAATTGTTAATCTTTCTAATTATGCAAAGCATTGAAAACATACCTGAACTTTCATATAAGCTCATACTGATGAACCAGGTTCTTCATATAGAACTCTCTTGAACATGCCTCAAATGCCATAATAGAAAAAACTTTGTAAGAGATCAGTGAATCATACGTACACATGTCACAGGAGTATACTATTTAAAGTATGAAACTGAGTAAGAATTAATCTAGATATTTCCACACAGTTAGAACTCCTAACCAAAATTTTTTTTTCATTGTGCATTCTGAACTGGACCAATTAGGTGATCTTAATCATCCCTAATTCCAACCTGTTCCTCTCAAAGTTTTCTCTACTCAGTGCTTTAGTGAAAATGTCAGCAATTTGCTTATCAGTAGCACAGAATTCTATGGAGATCAGTCCTTTCTCATAGTTATCTCTTAAGAAGTGGTGTCTAACATCTATGTGCTTCATCCTTTTATGATGAACATGGTTTTTTGTCATACTTATAGCACTAGTGTTGTCACAGAATATTGGAATACAACCAACTTCAATACCAAAATCTACCAGCTGTTGTTTGATCCATAGCAATTGAGCACAACAAGAGGCAGCAGCAACATACTCAGCTTCAGCAGT